TCCCCTCTCAAGCCCCAAAGCTGAGGTTCTGCCAGCAGCACAGGACGGGAAAGCGGTCTCTGCCAACAGACTCCCACCACTGTGCACGTTGGACCAACCCTTGACCTCTGGGCCCCCTTTCTGTCTGTTAGACCAGATCAGTGTTTCATGAGTAGAAACCTTTTTCCCAAATACACCATAAGGCTGAACTTCCAGATATAAAGACAGTGCTTCCCCCATCCCTGCCCCAACCTGACCCTTAAACCCTTGCTGGAACCCTTGGACTCTGTTAGAAAACTGCTTATGTGGACAGTTTGGAAGAAAGGATCCTTCCAAGTGGCCTTGGGCTCCCCTGCCTGTGTCCTGTCTTTTCTCCTTCCGTCCTTCCTCAGGGTGCCTGGCACTGGGGCACGAGGAAGGAGCCAAGCAGTGTCACTGACCTGAGGTTGAACCCTTGGGTCTATACCAGGAGGCCCTCCACCCATGAACTTGGATGCTGCAGAGATTTCAGTGAATGGGATAGGATGTCTGGGGAGCAGAGAGAGCATGACTTGGCCAGAACTTTGTCTGGATGCCCCATCTAGGGAGGTGGGCTCCCCTAGAATCATGCACCATACCCCATTCCCAGAGTCCAGAAAGTTGGCACCCGTCCTCCCTGCCTTCCACACTTGAGCAGGCAGGGGGGCGAGCCCTGCAGCCACACCCTCCAAGGAGCACCTACCCTGCAGGCCCACAGCACTGCCATGGATGGAGACATGCCCTGGTGTGAAGCTCACACCAGCCACGCTAGCCCTGGGAAGCTGGTGTCCATTATGCACCGCAAGCCACTTGGGGCCAGCTCCCTAGATGTGAACCCAGCATCACCTTTTCTCAATACCTGCGTCCTCAGCAAGGGAAGATTGTGGGGAATTTCCATTTTCTTCCAAAGTCTTTTTCTGATTTCTGAAATATTTTTAATAAGCTTGTATAATGTTTATAATCAAACCCAACAAATCCATTTATTTTTATTTTTCAGAGACAGGGACTCACTCTGTCATCCAGGCTGGAGTGCAGTGGCATCATCATAGCTCACTGTAGCCTCAAACTATTGGGTTCAAACAATCCTCCCACCTTAGCCTCCTGAGTAGCTAGGACTACAGGCATGTACCACTAAGCCTGGCTAGCTTTTAAAAATTTTTTGTAAAGACAGGGGTCTCACTATGTTGCCCAGGCTGGTCTCAAACTCCTGGCCTCAAGCGGTTGTCCCACCTTGTCTTCCCAAAGTGCTGAGATTACAGGTGTGAGCCACCACACACGGCCAAATCAATTTTCAAAAGACAGTAGCTGAGGCCGGGCGCCATGGCTCATGCCTGTAATCCTAGCACTCTGGGAGGCCGAGGCGGGTGGATCACTCAAGGTCAGGAGTTCGAGACCAGCCTGAACAAGAGCGAGACCCTGTCTCTACTAAAAATAGAAAGAAATTATCTGGACAGCTAAAAAATATATATATAGAAAAAATTAGCTGGACATGGTGGTGCATGCCTGTAGTCCCAGCTACTTGGGAGGCTGAGGCAGGAGGATCGCTTGAGCCCAGGAATTTGAGGTTGCTGTGAGCTAGGCTGTCGCCACAGCACTCACTCTAGCCAGGGCAACAGGTGAGACTCTGTTTCAAAAAAAAAAAAAAAAGAAAAGAAAAGATAGTAGCTGAGTTCCCAGACCCTACCATCTCCACCAGAGGAGCCTCAGCTTCCCTCCCACCAGACCCGGTTTCCTCAGAACCACAAGCCCCCACCATCCAGCACTGCAGCTGTCCTTGGCAGCCCCGTCTGCTGTCTGGCCTTGGTAGGTCATGCTGCAGTCTCTTAGTGATAGAGCAGCAGGCTTCCCACATCCCACGGGGGTCCCTCTGTGGGCTGGCCCTGAGGGGTCCCTGTCCCCTACGTTCTTGGTTATGGCATCTCCTCCATGAAGCCAGAAATCTCAGCCACACACCAAGGATGTCCTGCTGCCAATCTTTAGTGTCCAGCTCAGGGCCAAGTGCTGCCACCTCTAAGAGCTCCCAGCAGCCCAGGTTCCTCACAGTGGCCAGCACTTTGAAGGGAGGGGACAGAGAACAAAGGCCAGGGCAGGAAAAGGCTGCATTCCAGCACCTACAACTGGCCTGAGTCTGGCCTCTGTCCGTAACTCCCTCTGTGACCCCGGGTGGGTCATCTGTTTCTTTGAGCCTCAGTTTCCCATTTGTAAAGTGGGAAGGAAATCTCACACAGAGTCTCCAATTAGCTGATTGACAGAGAAAAGCTTTGTCCCCCGTCCAGTGCCTTGGGCTGTGAAGGGACATTGGGTCTTTCTTTTGGGCAGCCTAACCCTGACCCGTTTTCCCTCAACCCAGCCTGGACCCTGGCAGCCACAGCTTGGAAGTGGCCCTGGACATCTGTGGCCAGCCACACAGCCGCCACCAGCCAGTCTGATGCCGGAGCAGCAGCCAGTGACGGGGATGGTTCTGGGAGGTGGCAGGTGGGAGGTTGCCCCAATCCTTGCCTCGAGTCCTGCTGAGAAGAAGCAAAATCTGCCACCCTTCCCACACTGGGGCTGCGGCAAGTTCTTCAGGATGGATCCCCGGCAGGTTCCAGGTTGGAGCGTGGATGAGGCTTCTGTGCCCACCTGTCTGACAAGTGTGGCTCCAAGCTCCCCAGCCTGGGACCAGCCAAGGAGGGGTGCCTTGGTCAGGAGTGGCTGCCAGGGCTGCCAAGCCTGGCCTAGGGGCTTGTTGCAGTGGCTGGACCTTCTCCAGGTCACCTCAGGACAACCCTCCTGGCCGGAGACCAGGGCTGCAGAGAAGGAAGGGGCTCCCTAAGGGTGGACCCCTGTGGGCCACTACTGCTCTCACTGTGGCTTAGGAATTCCACCTGGAAGGCAGCCAGACAGGGGTAGCAGGATGTGCCCAGACCTGGCGCCAGACCCAGGCTGAAATCCTGGCTCTCCTGTGATTCGGGGCAGGGTTCCTCACTGAGCCATCACCTTCCTCACCTACAAAATGGGATTCCACCACCTCATGCCCATTCAGTCTCAAAGATTTGGGGAGATTCATGCCAAAAGTATCAGAAAAAAAAAAAAAAAAGATTTAGGGAGAGGATCTCTATTTTAAAAAAAACAAACATCATTATAGGGTGTGGTGTGGTGGCTCATACCTGTAATCCCAGTACTTTGGGAGGCCTAGGCGGGAGGATTGCTTGGGGCCAGGATATTGAGGCCAGCCTGGGCAATATAGTGAGACCCCGTCTCTACCCCAAAAAAAATTTTAAGTGAAAAAAAAAAATTATAGAATTTTCAAGCATATACCAAAATAGAGAGGATAATTTATGAGTCCCCATGTTATGTTCCTATCACCAGGCTTCAACTAATATCAACTCGTGGTCAACCTGGGACTACACCCAAACCCTCTCCCATAACCTCTGGACTATTTTAAAAACAAAGCTGAAACATCATGTCATTTACCCTACAAATACTTCAGAATGAAGTTCAAAAGTCAACCATAATTCCTTAATATCATCAAACGTCTCATCAGAATTCAAATTTCCCCCAATTGCTCATAAATTTTTTTTTTAGTTAGTTTGGATTTGAATCAACTTAAGGTCAACACATCACCTTTGACTGATATATGTCTAAATTTCTTAAAATCTAGAGATTCCCCATCTTTTCCTTTTTTTTTTTTTTCTTTTGAGACAGAGTCTTATTCTGTTGCCCGGGGTAGAGTGCCGTGGCGTCAGCCTAGCTCACAGCAATCTCAAACTCCTGGGCTCAAGCGATCCTCCTGCCTCAGCCTCCTGAGTCGCTGGGACTACAGGCATGCGCCACCATGCCCGGCTAATTTTTCTATATATTTTTAGCTGTCCAATTAATTTCTTTCTATTTTTGGTAGAGACGGGATCTCGCTCTTGCTCAGGTTGGTCTCGAACTCCTGAGCTCAAAGGATCCACCCTCCTCGGCCTCCCAGAGTGCTAGGATTACAGGTGTGAGCCACCGCGCCCGGCCCCCATCTTTTCTTTTCTTGTAATTTTGTTGTCGTTGAAGAAGAAACTAGGTTATCTGTTTTGTAGAATTTCCCAGTCTGGATTTTGGTAACTGTTTTACCTATGTGTCTTTTCACATGTTCCTCTGTTCCTTCTATTTCTGGTAAACTCATCATTGGATCCAAGGGATCAGATTCGGGTTTGATTTTCTGACAAAAATAATACCTAGTTGGGGTTCCTATGTCTGGAAGGAGGGTCTGATTTGAGCAGCAGGCTTGGGTGTTCCCACTCTCATATAATACATTTGTTATAGAGCTCCCATCAGCGAAGAGCTCAAACCATAAAACTCTTAGACAAAAACATGCCAGACCCCACAGGGTCAGTCCGGGCTTAAGTGGAGGCACAGGGGGTGGGCAGAATTATGTTCTGGAAAGATCCCTGTGGATACTGAAGGATACACTGGAGAGAGAAGCCAGACTCAGAGGGCTGAGTGACATAAGGCTCTGTCTATATGGCTTTTTGGAGGGGGCAGAACTAGGACAGAAAGCAGGTCTGGAGTTGAGGGGAAGGGGAGGGGTTGACAGCAGGGAGCACAGGCTTGTGGGAGGCAGTGGGCTGTTCTGTTCCTCGGTCGTGGTGGTGGAAGCACAACTGTGTGTTTGTCAGGGCTCAATGTCCTACCAGCTAGTCCAGGACCTGCTGAGGACAAAAGTGGTGTCAGACTCATCTCCAACTCCCAGGCCTGTCGGAGTTACCTGTATAGGCTTAAGCCCTGTCGGGAAATCTCACCTGGGTGACAGTCCCTTGTCCATTCCTTCATTTAACTAGCAATTATTGGGCACCTACTATGTGCCAGGCTCCATGGTGGGCACTGGAGACTCTCAGGTGACCATGACCACTCCTGCCCTCAAGAAACATCACGCTAGCCAGGATGTGACCATGGGCCATCCGACACGTTCCCCAAGGTCTCCCCGGGGCCCTCCTCCTCTCCACTTCAGATAGCCAGGCCTTGCCAGACAGAACTCACAGGTGTATCAAAAAATAACCTTTATTGTCACTAGTATAAAACAGAGCAGATCAACTGGCCTCTCAGTCTGTACAAAGTGTGGCGCATAAGACTGCCTGGGTGGCCCCCATTTCTCCCATAATGCCCTGCCCCAGAGCGGTGCCCCAGGAGCTCTGAGAGGGGAAGGGGCCGCCGGAGCGCCTTCCCTGGAGGACAGGTGTCAAGGGTACACCGGGTGAGGGGCCATTTTCTACCTGAGGGAGGCAGAGTAGCAGAGAAGGCTGAGTGAGCAGCCCTCCAGTTACCCACCATCCCGTCCCCAGCTTCCGCACACCGAGTCCACTGGGTGCGTGGCGGGGCCGTGGGTGGCCTGCAGTCGCTGAGATGCGCACTGGCTCGGGCAGTGGTCAGAGGGCCACGCGGGTACAGCAGTGGCGCAGCACACACGGCAGGATGCCGCGGTTCAGCTGGTGGAACTCCACGAGCTGCAGCAGGTCAGTGAAGCGGGTCTGGCCATCGTCCATGCTGAAGTACAGGCGGCCCTCCTCCTCGCTCTGGGGTACGGCAGAGCAGGTGGCCGGTGAGGGGGGCACGAGGTTTAACGAGCTCCCTCCTGAGCCAGGGCTGAGGTCCCCATTTCTTGTGCAGGGAAAAAGGAGACACCCTGGGGGCCCGGGAGCTTCCTGAGGTGCCAGATGAGGAGGACAGGGTGCTGGCGGGGCTGTGTCCCCTTGCGGGATTCCAGGGACTCTCAGAGAAGGCGGGGATTACTCACCGGCAGGATGAGATAGTGCTTGACTTTCTGCAGGTGGCACAAAGAGAGGACAAAGCCCTGCGGGTTCCGCTGACTGTCCCGGACCAGGAACAGGCTGCCAGGAGACCAGAGACAGGGCAACATTACCCGAGGACACAGGGCTGCCACCTTGACCCCGGGTCTCTTGTATCCTTGGGTCTGTTGCCGCACCCGGCCCTGTCCCTTACCCGTCCACCAGGCCCTGCTGTCCAATGAGCCGCTGGCTCTCCTCGCGGGAAATGCGCCCATGGAACCAGGGCTGGGTGCGGTGGATGGCTGGGGTGGGGGGAAGCAGAAGGGCTGTCATTCAGGAGAGGGAATCCCCATACTACCCCCTGGGGACTCCAGACCATCACCCACCTGCGCTGAGGCTTGTGCCAGAGGATGGCGTAGGCAGGCTGAGGCGGTGGTTCGTCTTCTTCTGTGGAGAGTCAGGGTGTGGTTGGGGGTATTACCTGGCACCTCAAGGATGTAGAGCACCTTTCCCCAGCTGGGGGGCCTCCCCTCAGCCCCCTCCTTCCTGCCTCCCATTCCATAGAAACCCACATGGAGAAGAGCACCCAGCACAAACACGCGGATGGGTGCGGGCCCCTCACCCTCCAGGCCTGGGCCTCCTCCAGGGCTGCACTCAGAGCTTCCCGGGGGTTCTCGATGACACGCCCAGCATGGCCAGAGAAGTCCATGGCCACCAGGGTATTATCCGAGACACTCCTCTGGAGATGGGATAGGATGGGGAGGGAAGAGGTCAGAACAGGGTCCAGGTATCCCTGGGATGGGGTCTGGGCATCCACCCCCCACCTAATGCCCCCGTGCACACTCACCAAGGGCGGGGAACCCAAACCGGATGGGCGCAGGTGGCGAGACTGTGCCTGCTGATAATTCTTATATAGCTGCACCCCATACTGTGGGGGGTGGGGGAGGAAAGAGGAAAGAAAGACCTCCTGAGATCCAGAGGTCCTGGGGGCTGGGCTGTGACACCTCCCCAGACCAGAACTTGCCAAGGGTAGGGCTGTTTCTGCCCTTGGATAGGAGCTTCCCGAAGCCAGAGTTGCAACCCCAGCCTGGGCCTGGGGGTTCTCAGAGAGCAGGGCTGTGATGCCCTCCTCATTCTGGAGACTTCCTGAGAGCAGAACTCTGACTCTTCCCTACACTGGGGATCCCTTGGGTGGGGCCAGCCCCCCACACCACCCCCAGGGCCTCACCTTGAAGAGGCGGAAGGCAGCCAGCCAGCAGGCACGGCTCTGCTCGTCCTCACTGCAGAAGATCCGGAGCCCCTTGTGGCCATTTCGAAGCTTGTTGGGCTGCGGGGAGAGGAAACTGGCTGGTCTCGCATCTGCCTCAAGGGCCAGATGTCTGTCCCTGGTCTCCACAGGGTAGGGCAGGACCCAAGGAGTCTCCAGCAGCACCGGGTGCAGGGAGAAGGGTCTGGGTATCCCAGATGGAGCTCAGAAGCCCCAGGTAGGACCCTGGGGCCTGAGAAGCTCCTGCTGCCCCTGAGGCCAGGCCAGGCCAGGGTCTTCACCTTGACACAGAAGCCGAATTCCGTGGGCATCCCGTAGAGCTTGCGGCCCTGAGTCACCACGTACACGTTGGACTCGTTCACGTCTGCCACGTACTGCAGGTGCCTCGGATCCTAGGCGGCATGAGTGAGGGGGACTTGGTACAGGCAGACCCCATCTCTCTGCTACTGCCCCCACAAGCTGGGCGGGAAGATTTCAGGACCAGAGAGGGGCAAGGAAGTGCCCAGGGTCACACAGCAAATATAAGTAGAGCCAGGATTTTAACTCAAGTCACCTGCCCTTTATACTGCCCTCCTGGGCCAGCTGAGCTGGGCAGGGGTGGGGGCAGGGACGGTAAGCTGGAGGCAGACAGCTGGGGGGTGGGGAGAAGGGCCCAGGGGTTCCAACAGGGAAGCGGCACTCGAGGACTGCAGCTGGCACCCTCGAGACCTCACCTTGGAGGTGCCCTTGGTGGAGTAATAGAGGCCAGACCGGCGCAGGAAGCAGAAGAAGCGTTTCCAAAGCTTGCGTCCCGACCCGCGCAGCTGCAGGAAGCCTTGGATCTCGGGGAAGCTGCCTGCATTCAGGAAATTCTGAGGCCAGAGGAGAACGGAGGAGGATGAGAGGCCTGACCTCTGCTCTTCCCCTCCACCCTCAGGTTTTCATGAGGACTCCGCATGCATTTCTTGTCCCCATTTCTTGTCCCCATTTAAGATTGCAGGGAAAGTGACTTTTCCACAGTCACATAGGACCATGGCTGGGCTCTTTCTACCACATAGAGAGAGGCACAGGGCTTAAGGGCAGAGGAGCACTGGGCAATTCTGAGGAGTCACGAATACTCAGTGGAATGGGGGTCCCCTCACCTGGATGAGGTCTTCGTGGGATACATCTGTCTGTGCATCAAGACAGCTGGACACCATCTTTTCTGGGAACAGGGAGTGCTGGGAGGGAGAGAGCGGTCAGGGGTCAAGGCTCAAGGGTCCAGGCTGGGAAGTGGGGTGTCCCAGCGCCCAGACACCCCACGCACACTCACTGGGGAGCTCTTGAACAGCTCGTACTTGGCAAAGTTTTTCCGGAAGACAAAGCGGCTGTCTCCGCCCACGGGCCAGGCAGCCTGCACTTCCACCACGGACTCGTGGTCCTCCAAACACCGCTCTGGGGTCAAGGGCAAAAAGCAGGGGTTAGTGGAGACCGGCCAGATCTCCCGGATGAGCCACGTGCCTAGCCCGAAACGTGAGGCACTGCCTCCTGGCTTGGGCAGCTCCCGTGCCCCAACTCACCCAGTGCTAGGTGGGGGTGGCACTCCACCAGCCCCCAGGTCTCGTCGCTCAGGGCGTGAGCCCGCTGCACCAGCATTTCGCACACGTGGCGGGCCGTGGCACCCGCGGCCACCTCCACAGACCTGCAGGCCCCGTCCTCACTGTACACTTTTACTACCTGCTGCCAGGAATCGCAGGTGACTTGAGGGAGGGCAAAGGGTGATTCTTGCCCTTCCCCCGCTGCTGTGCCCTTGGGGACCCTGGACCAAGAGAACCCCCACCTCCACTGAAGTGGCCCTATATCTGTCCCAGGCCCAGAGCACCCCTGCACCCCTACCTGCCCTTCTGAGGAACAACTCACGTGGGGGCGGCTGGCGTCTCGAGGGAGCAGCCCCCTTGCGCTGGAGGGTCCCCCAAGAATGGGGGCCTGTGAAGGAGGGCTGCAGAGCTCGGGGAAGGGGTTGGGGATGGAGGGTAGAGAGCTTGCTCGCAGCTCCTCCTCTCGAAGTTTCCTGGGTGGAGGAGAGAGGTGGGGAAGGTTAGGAATTGGCTGAAGACCTCTGCGTATCGTCCTCCCCTCACCGCCCTCGCCCCTGCCCATCGCCCCATTGTACCTGCTGGTTGGGATGGGCAGAGGCTGGGACCTCTTCACCTCCCCAGGCAGAGGGGTGTCAGGGGGTGGGGGAGTCCCGGGAGGGGTCCCAGGGGCTGGGCACAGGTCTTCTGGGGAGCTGCTGAGCTGCGGTGGAGACAGATCCAGCTCCATGGCATCTGAGGGAGAAGATGGGGCTGAATGCAGCCGTTTGTGCGCCCTCGTCCTGGGGACAGGGGCCAAGAGAACCCAGACCTCCCGACCTCAAGGCTGTCAGGGTGCCCTTCGGAATTTACATAGCTCCTCATTGCTCCCCTCTAACTGGAGTTTCCCTGGAGCCCTCTGGGAAGGATAGAATCAGCCCCATTTTACAAAAAGGGACACTGAGGCTCTGCGAAGGAAACATTCTTGCCCCCAGTGACAGGTGAATCAGGGAGTAGAACCTGTGTTTGGACTCTAAGTACAGTGCTCTTTCTTTAGCCCAAAGTTGCTCAGGGGAAGAATTAAGAGGGTGTCCCCCCTATCCACTGCCATAGCCTGGCAGCAGCAACAGCATGACCCACAGACTGCCTGGGGCTCGGCTCTCAGTGTCAAGGCAAAGGGCCACCCTTCTGCCTCTGAGTTTGGGGCACTCAGTCCGCTGGGCTCTGCCCCGGGTTTTCCAGCACTTAGCTGCCAGAGCCAGTTGCCAGAGCCTGTTGTAGTAGCGCCTGCCCAGGTGATGCGATGAGTGATGCACGGAAGGAGAGGAGGTGGGGAGGACAGGAACCAGGAGGGCAGGAGAGTGGCTAGGCTGTGGCCCTTGCTCCAGCAGCCCCCAAACTTTGTGTACCCTCTTCAGGCCATCCTCCTGCCCAACTCTTTCCTGAAGCCCCAGTTCTAGAGCCACCTCCTCTAAGAAGCCTTCCTGGATTTTCCACATTCAGACTGAAATGTGGAAAACTACTGAGCACTGTGCTGGTGCCTCTGCACCAATTACTGTGCACCTGTCCTGTCCACCCACTAGTCTGAGGGCACCTGGAACCCCCAGGCAGAGCCAGCATCTTACCCACGTCTTATCACCTACTGGGGCCGCACAGACACTCAGGACAAGGAAGGAAAGGAGAGACAGGGCAAGGCTGCCCACTACAGGTAGAGGCAATGCGGGCCCCTCCTCCGCAGCAACCAAGCAGACCCCTTTGGCTGGGCTGAGACCTGTGAGAACCCGGGAGTACTTGCCAATCCCAGCCCCCAGCCTGTCCTCTGCACATGGGGCCAGTACTGTGAGGCTGCCTGAGGCACCTGGGATTGACCCCCCCAGGATGGATCAGGCACCTGACCCTTTAGTGAGGGCATAAGGGGATTTGGGGGACAGGTGAGTCAGGGCGGGGCGGGACAGCACTGCCTAGGGCTCTCCATTCAACCTTGACTCATCCGCACAACTTCCTGGCTTAGGAGAAACACAAACAACTCTGCCTCTACCCTCCACCCTGCCCCCCCACTCCCTAACCTACTGGTTTCCTGGGAGGAATGGGGGAGGCACAGAGCAGGGACAGGATAGGGGAGGAGGATGAGGGGCCTGAGGCTCCTCTGACATCATCTCCTCCTCCCCACCCTTCGCCTACGTCCTGTCCAGGTGGGACTTGCAATCTGCCCACCTCAAGTCCCATGCCACCACCCAGCCAGGCAGCCCCCTCACCTGGAAGGAGAGAGGAAATACCCGGCCTGGATTCAGAGGCCCATTTGGAGGGCAGCCGACCTCCCAGTGGTGCCCCTCCCTAACCAAAGCAGCCCTCAGAGCTCCCAGTCCTGTGTCTGGGACCTCATAAGCTCTCATTCTGCTGTTAGGTGCTTCTAGCGCCCAGGACGCATCGGTCCTGGGGACTTGTCCACCTCACCCTGGGGGTATGAGGTCCATCCTATCACACTCTCCCAGGTTTCCTGGCCAGAGGGGTACCACAAAAGCAGGAGTAGAAAGTCAAATCACCCAGGATGCCAGACAGACTGGCAACAGGGCAAAAGGCCCGGGAGGGAGCTCAGGGTCCTGCCAGGAAGGACCAGACAAAGCCACCATCCAACATCAACAGACATCAAGACACATTGCCTCCACTCCCACCCCGTCTAGCCTCAGGCAAACAGCCCTGATGCCTTCATTCCAGGGAGGACTGGGGGAGGGGCTGCTCCGGCCACACTTTCCTGGAAGTCAAAGAGCAACAGTGGGGTGGGAGGGGGAATAGAGGATGCTGAGGGCCTTGTAAGTGGGGAGGGAGTGGATTTAAATCAGATTAGAATCTGTTATCAGAGGTCAGGGAGGACCCACTCAAGACTGGTGTTTGGCATTCAGACCCCTCTAAGGCTAGAGAGGAGTGGAACAGTCAAGACCAAAGGGATGACGAGGGAGGAGAACGGGGTCCTAGCTGTGGGTTTGGGCAGCTCCCTTCTGAGAGATCTGGAGTTTTCAAACTGGGGAGCTGGGAAAGCTTCTATTGGAGAAACTGACCCCACAATCAATTTGTTCCTCAATCGCAACTCAGACTGGCTAGGCCATTCCTTCCCGAACTGCCTCTCCAGCCCCACCCTCTTTCCCGCCCTCCCAACCTCCTTGTTTACTTCCTGAAGCTTGCCCCACCTGGCTGGCCCCTAGGGCGAGTGGCCTGGCCCAGTGATCAGGGCCAACAGTAAACAACCCTGCTTCCCAGGGTTGGGGGAAGGGCTGGTGGGGCAGGGGCCTGGGCTGGGGGCCAGATGTAACCAGAGAGGCCCCCATCTGGCCCAGCATTCCATGCCCCACCTCCATCAGGATTTACTGTAGTGGGGGAGACTTAACCTTTGGGGGAACACTTAGGGTGCAGGGCCCAGGTGAGAAACCCCTAGGTAACCCAGAGTTGAAGGGAGAGCCCAGAGCCCTGAGGCCCCGCCCACTCCCTCACTGTGGAAGAAACACCAAATGGGAGAAGGGGGGCAGCTCTTTTAAAGTTTAATTCGGGAAGAATGCTGGAGTGTCTGTGGGGTTAATCATTACAGGCAGTCTTCGCCGAGGTTCCCCCTCCCCACTCCGCACACAGCAGGGTATCAGAAGGAGAGGGGGGAGCAGAGTCCAGGACTGGCGACCAAGAGAGGGCATTGCTGGGGGACAATGGCGCTGGGAGGACTCCCACCTAGTGGACAGGTGCATTCTGTCCCTAACCTGCCAGGGAGACCCAGCCCCGGAACCTGGGTCTTTCCCCAGCCTCATCAAACAGACAAAACCATCTTCCCCTCTCTCCCCTCTGCACTGCAGACCCCTCATCCACCGGTCTTGCCTTCCTGCCCACTTCATACTGAAGCCAGGAGGGACCTCTTGGCCCACCCCGCCCCCGCCTTCCCATCTGAGCAGGGACTCCAATCTGGAGAGAGGGAGCTTCGGCAATTTAGAGAATTCCTGTCCTTTCCTGCCCTCCAAACTGGACGGTGCCCCTCTCCAGCGGAGACGCCTGTTCTTAGTAGAGACTCGGGGAAACCCAAACTGGGGTAGAACCGGGCTGAGCTCCCTCAGCATTCGGATACCCGTCCTAGCTTTCTCGTTGTGTGGGGAGGGGCCAGTTTCAGCGGGAAAGCCGAGTCTCCCGGGGAGAGAATCGGATCTACCCCGGGCTCATCCACTGGCTTGGGGGAGCGTCCAGGGAGGGAAGGAGGCTCCGAGGAGGGCAGGGAACGAGAATGGGGAGGACAGGTCGGCCGGTGAGGAGGGGGCGGGACGGGAGATTGGCAGAAAAGAGAAAGTGAGAGAGAGGCCGCCAGAGTAGCAGAGAGGGAGACAGGATCTTTCTATGGTGACCCCAGACCTGCCTGTGCACGCCACCCTCAAGATGAAGTGCCCGCCTTGGTCCTTACCTGGACCCTGGGCGTCAGTACACCTGGCTGGGGCCACCGGTTTAAGGAGGGAGACGCCAGGCCCTTAACTACCTGTCCCCCTCTTGCCCCCGCCCCTGCCCTGACATCACCGAGGGGGAAGGGGAGGGGGAGAGCCAGGTGGCCGCCGGTCCTCCCACCTGGGCAGCCTGCCAGTTAGACCCAGAGACAGGCATAGCCTGGGGCCCTGGTGCGGCTGGGGGTAGGAACAGGTAGTCGTCTGAGACCGACCTCGGTCCCCTTACCTGGAGGAGCCCCAGCAGGAGTAGCAGGACACCGGGTCCAAAGTCTGGCTCTGTCTAGGGACCCCAGATACCTGGATTTTATTTCAAATCCACGCCCGCTTCTCTACGTGTGGTAGGAGGGTGTCCCGACTTTGGTCGTAGAAGTCAGGGGCTGCGGGGAGCCCTGTGTGTCCAGATTCCAGGCCCAAGGAAACTAAAATTACCCTGGGCAGATGGGGGCGGGGCCTGGGGGAGGTGCCAGGGAGGAGGAAGCACGGGACGAGGGGGCGGAGACTCCTGACACTACGCCAACTGGAATTGTTTTTGCCCTTCTTAGCCTGGCAGCAGGTGTCAGGGGAGGGTACAGGTGTCTGGGGAGAGGCAGGGAAGACTGAGGGACAGAACAGCAGCGAGAGCGAAAATCAAGAGTCCTGGCTACCCTGGGGGGAAGGGGCTGGGGGCTGGAAGGTAAGGGGAAACGGCCACGCCCACTCTTCGCTGCACCCCTCCCCAAATCTGGTCTGTTCATTGGCCAAGCTAGGGGGCCCGTCTGCAGCTCTGAGCCCCACCCACTTGGGCAAAGGGCACTCTGCGAAAGAGGGAAGGCAGCCAGAGGGATGTCGGGCAACATGGCCTGCCCCTTGACTTCCAGACACAGTCTGGCCACCCTCAGAGGCACCCGGTGTATGTCCCCACTTCTGAGCAAAGTCCAGGGACTCGGCTTTCCCCCCTCTTTTTTTTTTAAGACAGAGTCTTGCTCTGTTGCCTGGGCTAGAGTGCTGTGGCGTCAGCCTAGCTCACAGCAACCTCAAACTCCTGAGCTCAAGCGATCCTTCTGCCTGAGCCTCCCAAGTAGCTGGGACTACAGGCATGCGCCACCATGCCCGGCTAATTTATATATTTTAGTTGTCCAGATCATTTCTTTCTATTTTTTTTAGTAGAGACGGGGTCTCGCTCTTGCTCAGGCTGGTCTCGAACTCCTGACCTTGAGCGATCCACCCGCCTCGGCCTCCCATCGGCTTCCCCTTTTAAAATCGAAGGGGTTAGACAGGGTCGCACAGTGGGAGGAACCACAGTGATCTGCCAAAAGCTCTGGACCTGGCGCCAGGGAACTCCTCCTAGAGGGATCATTTTAGCTCTCTGGTCCAGCAGACACAGGGGACCCGGGAGGGAGGCCGAGATCAAAGGCTGCAGCCACCTCCCAGCTTGATGTGGGTGACAGTTGGGAAAACAAACAATCCACAGGGTGATAAGAGGTCTGCCCTGGAGGAGCACGGAGGAGTGGCTCCAGCCCCAACTTTCTCCAAACTGAGTTTTCCTTGAAAAACCGGTATGAGTGGGCCAGGCAGAGGTGGGGGAGGGGGTAAGGTCTCCTGGGCCATGGAGCAGCTTGTGCAAAGGCAGAGTAGACAAAACTCATTCATTCAACTATGTGTTAAGTATCCACTATATGGCAGCCCCATACTTGGAGCTGGGGATACAGGGGTGAGCAACAAAAACAGACCGCACCCTGATCCTCATGCGGCTCAGCCAGGGAGACTGACGTTAATCAAAGAATCACACAAATAAGAAACGACAGGTGACAACTATGCTGGGAGAATGACTCACATAAGGAGTTAGGGAAGACTTCTTTGTGGAAGTGACAATTGAGCAGAGGAGAAACTAGCTGAGGTGGGGAGGGGTTTGGGATTGGTGAATGGGAATGGGGGGTGTCACCTTCCACAATGAGGGAACAAGTGCCCTTGGCAGGAGGAGACACAGCATGCAGAGGCAGGGAGCAGGGGTGGAGGATAAGGGAGGGAGAAGAGGCTCACACAGGTGAGCCTGGGCAGGTGTGATAGGTGTGGAGAAAGGCAGCTGTGCTTCTGAAAGTGGCCTGTGATCACCTGCCTCAAAATCTCCCTAAGCTTGTGTAAAAAACAGATTCTTGGGCGCCTCCCCAGCTACTGAATCTCAGTCTCTGGGGCTGAGACCCAGGAATGTGTGGTATTGACAAGCCCTCAGGTGGCTGTTCTGCAAACCCGGTTTGAGTCATCCATCCTGTTTGTCCAGACTGGCAGTAATGGGCAGGGGCTAGACCCTGCAGGTTCTATCTGGACTTAGGTAGAGCCACAGAGGAGTGGGCAAATTTACATTTTGAAAAGATCACTCTGCGTGTTGAAGGATGGGATGGAAAAGGAGGTCAGACTCAGAGGGCTGAGTGCTGTAGGATTTCACTTAAATGGCTTTCTGGAGGGGGTAGAACTATAAGGACAGAAAGCAGATTGTGGTTGGGGAGGAGAGCAGTTGACAGTATGGGGCACAGGGATTTGTGGGAAGTAATGGAGCCATTCTGTATCTTGGTCGTGGTGCACAACTGTGTGTGTTCGGCAGGACTCACAGAAAGGTGCACTCACGAAGATGAATTTTACTGTGTGTAAATTGTGTCTTAATTTTTTAAATAAAAAAAGAATAGATTTATAGATCAATGGAATAGAACCGAGTCCAAATATAAACCGTTACATTTCTAGTCAATTGATTTTTGACAAAGGTGTCAAGAGAATTTGATGGGGAGAAGGATAATCTTTTCAACAAATGGTCCTGTGACAATTGATCCCACATGCCAAAAGATGAATTTAGATCCTTACCTCACATAATGCACAAGAACTAACTCAAAATAGATCATACACCTAAATGTAAGAGCTAAAACTATAAAATTTCTGGAAGAAACCATGGGAGAGAATCTTCGTGATTTTGGGTAAAGTAGAGAAGCAAAAGGACAACCGAAAAAAAAACTGATAAATTAGACTTCATCAAAATTTAAAATTTTGAACTTCAAAAGACACTATTTTTTTAAAAATCTTGCCAAAGACAGGGAGAAAATACTTGTAAATCACATATGAGATTAGGGACTTCATACCAAAAATATATAAAGAAGTCTTACAAATCAATAATAAAGAGACAAACAATCCAATTAAAAATGGGTAAAAGACTTGAATAGATGTTTCTTCAAATAATATTATATACATGAATGACTAATAACTGTATGAAAAAAACGCTCAACATCATTAGTCATTAGAGAAATGCAAATTAAAACTACAACGACATACTATCTCATGCTCACTAGGATGAGCATTTGGTTATAACCAAAGAGACAAATGACAAGTATTAGTGAGGATGTGGCGAAACAAATCCTTACACATTGCTGGTGGGAATGTAAAATAGTATAGCCATGTTGAAAAACAGCTTGGCAGTTTCTTAAAAAGTTAAACATAAACTTACCATATAACCCAGCAATTCTACTCTTAGGAATCTACTCAAGATAAATGAAAACATATATCCACACAAAGAAACCTACATGAACATTCATAGCAGCATTGTTCAAAATAGACAAAAACTGTAAATACAACCGTCCGTCAACCGGTGAATAGATAAACAAAATGTGGCATATCCATGGAATACTACTCAGCAATAAAAAGGAACAAACTACTGGTACGTGACACAGCACTGGTGAACCTCCAAAAAACGTTATACAGAGTGAAAGAAGCCAGAAGCAAAAGATCACATATTGTTTGATTCTGTTTATATCAAACATCCAGAAAAGGCAAATCTGTAGAGACAGAAAGCAGATCAGTGTTTGCCTAGGGCTGGAGTTGGAGGCTAGATTGTCCCCAAACAGTCAGGAGGGACCTTACCAGGTTGATGGAAACGTTCTGTAACTGGATTGGGATGATGGTCGCACAACTGTACAAATCATTGAATTGTTAGAAAATGAACAGTTTAAAGGGATACTAGAGTGGGTGACCTGTCAGGACACTACAGTGGTACTCCAGGGCAGGGAAAAACAGCAAGGACTTAGGTAGCCTCCATTTCCAGAGTTGGAAAATGGCAATAATGATGCGAGCCCTCTAGTGAGAGGCTGGGGCGAAACAGGGGATGTGCAGGAGCTGGGTGCAAGTGACGGAGGCCTGAGGAGCAGACAGTTGCAAAAGATGGGAAAAGGCAGTCCAGAGCTTCAGAGTCAGAAGCATTTAGGTGTGCAACTGTGGGATGGTTTCAAGTATCATCAGCATGTTAGCAAGAAATAGCAACTATTACATCAGTCCCAACACGCACCCATCTCCAAACTGCTTGTCCCACCACTTTCTCTTCCTTTCGTAAACTAGAAAGCGCTTTTTAGTGTAAGATATTTTATTAGATTAAATAAGGCCACGAAACCCGGCGGACACCAGCTGCGGGGCGAGCCTGGCACTCTGGGGACCCTGGGCAGGGAAACTCTGGACAGTCCGCCCAGCCGCAGCGGACCGAGCGCTCGAGCTGCGGGATAGGGTCAAACGCAGCAGCAGCCGCGGCCTGCAGGGGGCGTACAGACACAACGCGCGGCCCCGCCCCGTCACGTGCCCGCGGCGTCACGTCACACCCGGAAGCAGAGGCCTGAGCCGAGCCGGCAGCGATGAGTGGGGAGCCGGGGCAGGCGTCCGTAGCGCCCCCTCCCGGGGAGGTCGAGCCGGGTAGTGGGGTCCGCATCGTGGTGGAGTATTGGTGAGCGGCTCGGGCTGGAAGACCCCTCCCCAACCCCCGGCCGGATGGAGAAGGGTCCACGGACGGCCCCTCCCCCGAAACCCCAGCCCACTCCAGGTCTCTTCTCCCCAGTGAACCCTGTGGCTTCGAGGCGACCTACCTGGAGCTGGCGAGTGCGGTGAAGGAGGAGTATCCCGGCATCGAGATCGAGTCGCGCCTGGGGGGCACAGGTGAGGCCCGCAGAACACCTGCTGAGTCAATGTTATAAATCCCAGCTCTGCCACTTTCTAGCTCTGGCTTCGGCTGCTTTATGTAAAGTGCCTCGCAGTGTCTGGCACTTGGTACGATATCCAGCCAACGTGAGTGTCCTTCCATAGAGAGAGGGTCACAGATGAGGCCTGTAGGGAAAAACCGATTAGACTGCAATAGCATAGGGTTGGAGGGGAGGGAGCCCTTCACTGAGTGACGGACACACAGGTGAGACCTCTTGTAGGTTCATTCGAGTTCACCTAGGGTTGGGGAATGGCTTTAGGAAACACAAATGAGCTTCTAATGGGACTGACAGGGACTTGAAGGAGCCTGTGTGAAGTCTGAGGGGGTGGGGGGTGCCTTTGGCGGTCCTCGCCAGACTTCTGCCTCTGTTGTCGGCATACCATTTATTCATCCGTTTGTTTCATACCAGGAGCCTTTGAGATTGAGATCAATGGCCAGCTGGTCTTCTCCAAGCTGGAGAACGGGGGCTTTCCTTACGAGAAAGATGTGAGTGTTTGCAGTGTTGGGAGGACCCCTGGGTCACCCTACCCGAACATACATCATCCCATCATTCCACCTCTCTGCCCTCTAGCTCATCGAAGCCATCCGAAGAGCCAGTAACGGGGAACCCCTAGAAAAGATCACCAACAGCCGTCCCCCCTGCATCATCCTGTGACTTCACGTGACTCTGGGTTCCTGCTCTGTTCTGAGGTCCAAGCGTTGGTCTCCCGTTTGGCCCTGCTGGGAGCTTCCCCTGCCTCTTTCCTCTTAGCTCCTGGCAGCTAAGAGACCCTGGCGTCCACTTTGCCCCTTTGGGTACGAGGAGGGAATAAAAGCTTCTGTCGTTCGGGGTAGGAGAGAGACGCTCTCCATGGACATTTCCACAACCACTTTATACCCCCCTTCCCAGGATCAGTGCCCACAAAAGTCCAGTCCTCTCCCCAGCTTGGCAGTACCTGTCAGATGCCACAGTAGATCTAATTTATTCTCCCTTAGTCCTGGGCAATGTCAGCTATTGGCAATAAAGTGGTACTACAAACACTTGTGCCAACTAGTGTGTGTGTTTTTACGTCCAGTCTGGGAGTGTAGAGGGCCACCAGGGTGGCTGTGCTGGGTGGGTGGGCTTTTTCTGGACAGCTACTTATTAATTCAATGAGCTCCTCTCAGCCAAGGCAAGGAAAATGAATCCCACAGTAGACAATGCCTCTTTCCCCCTTTCCGCCTGCCCCCTTAGCCACAGGGGGGAAATTACCCCATGCTGGTGGGTGGCCTTAGGATTTATTAAATAGTTTGTTCTAAGTAAGAATGATCTAGTTGTCAAAGGACTCTCAGAACCCCAACTTCCCAGTCCCCCCAACCTAAAAGCCAGGGAACTGGATGTCACGTTCCTCATTCAAGCTTTCTGGAGATTCCTAGCCACTCCCTCCAGGAAAAGAGGAGTTGAGTGTAAGGTGAGCAGTAAGGGATGGCACAGAACCACCCCCAGACATAGGCTGGTGCCCAGCTGTTTTCCAAAATATATTTACAAATGGAGAAAGTGGGTATGGAGAAGGGACATCATTGCTCCAGGAACCCCTCCCCGCTCCACACAATACCCACTCTCCCCTGGGTCTTTATTTCATCTTTAAAAAAACAACAACAAAGTAAAAACAAAACAAAAAAGCACTCTGTACAAGGACCGGATCTGGACGCTGTTGCTGCTCTCTTCCTCCTGGGGGCAGCAGTAGGTGTCAGGGACAGTATCTGAGGGGTTGCTCTTGTTCTTAGATGTTCCAGGCTGGACTGCTACCTCCGGTGAGGCGACTATGGCTGTGGCATCCATTGGACCCTGGAGTCCACAGGGCTCCACAATCAACCAAGGCTCCCCAGCGCTGCCGTCTTCCACCATGCTGGGCCCCTGTCAGCCACTGAGGAACTCAAGCAAGAAGGAAGTTCCTTAGGACAGGTTCTTGGCATGGCAGGCTCCCCTGGATATGGCTGGAGGGCCCTCCCCACCACGTGGTGATGGGCTAGAAGTCATGGTGATGGGTTAGAAATCGGGCCTTCCCCACTCGATGACGGCACAGCAGGGCCCCAGGGGACTTGGCCTTCTCATTCACACTGGCACGTCCAGGCCCAGGTACTCAGGGTTCTCTGCTGTAGGGGTCCCTTCAAAGGTGCTGGGTGGAGACCCCCGCTCTGGTGGGTCCTGGTCCCAGTAATAGAGGTTGTCAAAGGCTGGGCTGAAGGCAGGAGGAGGGTGGGGCTGAGGAGCAGCCCCTCCCCGGGGTGCCAAGTACTCAGGGTTCTCCACAGCACCCCCAAAGGCAAAAACGTCTTTGACAACCCCATTCTTCCCTGGAGAGAGAGTCTTGGGCCTTTCCAGAGTGGCACCAGCAGGTCGGGCAGGAGGCACAGGGCCTTCTGGGGACGGGGGGTGCTGCAGCCGAACATCTGGCTGGTTCACATATTCTGAAAGGGCAAGAGACGAGGACTTGTTAGGGGAAGGGACCCAGGTGTCTGCTGCCCCTACAGTGGACCCTGAGCTGAGGGTCCCCAACTTCCCCCACCTCCCAGTCAGTCCCTCAGCTTGGGCCCAGATTCCATACCAGGCTGGGGGCTGCAGGTCAGGGGGGCAACGTAGCCATCAGTCTCAGCGGGCAGGGGTACTGTGGGGTCTTCACTGTACCGCTGTAGAGGGCTGGGGTCATGTGAAGGGAGGCTTTGCAGCCCCTTGGCTGCCCCCATTCCCAGGTCACCATCAAACACATCAGAGCCAGCCCCTTCTGAGGGTGCCAGTGGAGACCTGGGGGGCTCCTCTTCGGAGGGCTCCAGCCCCAATGTCAGCTCACCACCGCCACTCTAGGGACAAGAGAGAAAGTCATGGATCTGAGACGGAGACTCCATGGGAGGTGACAGGATTAGAGGAGGAAAAGAGAGGTCATCTTTGGGGTATGACACAGTCCCCATGGAGAGAATGCGGTCGCAGGGGTTGGAAAGCAGTAGGAATCCTCCTTAGGGACAATGGGTTCTCTGTGAGAGGTGATGGTTGGGGAACATCAGAGAAAGGGGCCCTAGTTTATTGGGGGGGGAGGTAAGCAGACACAGCCACCACAGTGTGACCGAGGGCACTGACCCTGGTGGACGAGCTGTGGTGTCTGTGGTGGGCTGTGCCTCCAGCGCCCGGGGCAGGGTCTGGGCAGAAGAAGCCCTGCTGGGGTACCAGATACTCCTCAGCATCCACCAGGTCCCCCATGTCATCATCTTCCAGCAGCGAGCGGTAGAAGGTGCTGTCCAAGGGGCTGGCTGGGCCCAAGTCCTCATTCTGGATAAGAGGGAGACACGGGGTGGCAGCCCCTCCCCAGCCCGGTGTGCAGCCTTCCAGGGAAGGCTCGCAGAAGGCAAGAGGCTGGCACCCGGGGGCCATCTCCCTTTCCCACCCTGCGGGAGGGTGCTCTCTTAGTCATAGGCAGGGATAGGGCACAAAGGCCCAGTACCTGGATGACCACAAAGCGCTGGGGGTCCCTGGCCATGCGGGAGAATTCGGCCACCAACTCCCGGAACCTCGGCCGACATTCAGAGTCAATCATCCAACCTGGGGCAGGAAGGAGCTCAGCATCTAGTCCTGGGTGCAGCCTGTGTGCTCGCTGCCACTCTGCCTCCCACTCCCTCTCCAGCCTGGTCTAGACAACCCCAAGGGACAGCCCCAAAGCCCACAGGTGCTAGAGAAGCAGTACCAGACTCTGGGGTCTTGAGCCAGAACCTTAGGACATCTCTACTAGTTTCCTGTTTTAATTTTGCATATAAGTCTCTTTCTAACTGTTCCTCTAGAGAACCTCTGGACTTTACTGCAGAAAGGACAGGAGATGCTTTTGAGGCTCCTTTAAACATACCAGGGGCCCTGGGTCCACATACATCCTGCTCTTGGTCCCCTCCCATGCCCCTTGTGGGCCCCTCCACCCAGCACCTCCCAGCCCTCCTCTGAGCAGCCAGCACAGCTCAGCCACGCACATTTGACCATGATCATGTAGACATCGATGGTGCAGATTGGGGGCTGGGGCAGCCTCTCCCCCTTCTCCAGCAGGTCAGGGATCTCCCGGGCTGGGATCCCATCGTAAGGTTTGGCTCCAAAAGTCATCAACTCCCACACAGTCACACCTAGGGTGGAGACAGAGATAGGGGTCAAGGGTGGGGGGACCAACAGAGCTTTAGTGTGCAGAGCCTAGAGACTCTCCCCAGAAGCCCAGCACCATAGCAGGGGGAGAGAGACGTGACGCCAAGAGACAGGACCTATCCAGTCTCTCCCCAGTCTCAGGGACGCACATGGACCCTGCAGGGTGGGGCACAGGCAGCCCCTTCCTTCCCTCCCACATGCTGAGGTGGCCCCATAATTCTCTCCATCCCAGCTCTCATTCTCCCACCAGCATCCCCCCCCCACCCTCCCCACCACGCACCGTAACTCCACACATCACTCTGGTGGGTGAACCGCCGGCGGAGAATGGACTCCAACGCCATCCACTTGATGGGCACCTGGGAGAGCAGAGGAGGAAGTCCTCCAACTGGGTGTGGTGGGGAGGTGGCCGTTCTCAGAGTTCTCCCAGGGGCCAGACCCCTTCCGCCCCGCCCCACTCTGCTCCCTCCTCTGACCTTGCCCCCATCAGCATGGTACTCTGTCTCGTCAATGTCCAGCAGGCGAGCCAGCCCGAAGTCGGTAATCTTGACATGGTTGGGACTCTTGACCAGCACGTTCCGGGCGGCCAGGTCCCTGTGCACAAGCCGCACATCCTCCAGGTAGCTCATCCCCTGGAACGGCAGGCACAAGTGTGGACCTTCTGGGACCCCAGCCTAGCCCCGTGTGGAGCCAGGGGCTTGCTCCCAAGGGACCTGTGGAGCCCAGGCCCCTACGTGCATACCTTGGCAATCTGCACACACCAGTTCAGCAGGTCCTGGGACCCCAGGCGCCCGCGGTGTTCCCGGACATGGTCTAGGAGGCAGCCATAGGGCATAAGCTGTGTCACCAGCTGCACCGTGGATGTCAGGCAGATGCCCAGGAGGCGGGAGACATATGGGGAGCCCACACCAGCCATCACGTATGCTTCCTGGGGGTGAGGGTTCACTGAGAAGCTACAGGGGACCCCAAGCCCCCAGCCACACGCCTGCCTAAGGGACCACTGCAACCATCACTAACCACAAAGGTTAAGTGCCAAGGTTTGGGGGCATCGTATCTCCCCAATCCCCAGAAAAAAGAGCCCAGAGCCCCGACCTGCAGCTGGGGATCCCTCCTATACTGCCAGCAGGAGAGGGCGGAGGGGCTTACGTCCAAGATTTCTTTGTTGGCTTTGGGGGATGTGTTTTCCCTCAACACTTTGATGGCCACTGGGATTTTCACATTCTCCCCATCAGGGATCCAGATGCCCTGGGCAGAAAGAAGAAGATGTGATGTAGAAGCCAGATCCCACCTGCCTTCCAGGCCACTCTCTGTGCTCTGAACGTCCTTCCCCAGCCCTGGACCTGCCCCTCTCCCCTTGTTCCCGCCGCTATAACTGCCTTCTCCCAAGCAGCACTGTCCCCAGCCCTTGGCCCTCCCTTCGGAACTCCTGACCACAGCCCTCCAGGCACCGCCCCACCCTCTGGGCCTGACCACCGCAGGCACTGGCCTGGACCCTGACCTTGTAGACTGTGCCGAATGCTCCAGATCCAAGCACCTTCACCTTCCTTAGCTCCGTCTCTTTCAGGATCCGCATCTGAGCCTGGTTGGGCATCGCTCCACTTGGCGTCAGCGGCTCCACCAGCTGGGGCGAGGGGGTGGAGGGTCAGTGCTGGGCGCTGGCTGTGGACCCCGGGCAGGCTGGGAGGCCTTCACGCCGCCTCACCTCTGTTTCCTGCAGCAGCCTCCGCATCGTGTACTTCCGGATTTTCTGCTGCCTTCGCTTGATAAGGATCCCACAGACTAGCCCCAAGACCACGGCCAGCAGAATGCCCACCACGGCAGGGATGATGTACGTCAGAGGGCTGGGGGTGGAAGTGACAGTCAGGGACTGGGGGCCAGTCTGGGGTGGAAGGG